TATAAACTGGTAAATCTAATAAAAAATTAAAATGTGAAAAGAAAAATGTAGTCAAATGATTAGATGACTGGTGACTGGTGTTTAAATTATGTCACATGGCACATCATTAAACATTAATGTAGATGATATATCCAAGGTCATTTTTTGTGAATATAATTGTTAAACCTTTTAAAATAAAAGTATAAATGTCTAACTATCGCACAATACTTGCAAAGGTTTTGTTTTGCTAAAATCTGCTTTCCAGATCAACTACTAATCATAATGCATATTCATAATATTCATGTTTCCATATTTTTATACAAAAATCCTTCAGCATTGTACATACTACATCATGTATTCTGTGTATAGAATAATCTAGGGAAAGAATTCCTTAATATTAATAGAAATGGTCTAAAATGTCAAGGTTCAGTCACTATAAAATGGCATTTTAAGGTAACTCCACCCAAGACATCTACCATTAAGGAATAAGATAGTAAGAATAAGTAATGAGGAAGTTATACATGCAAGGTACTGTTAAGAAAACCACAAGGATCAGCCATCCAACAAACAAAACAATCCTATAAAACAAAGAAATCAGTAGACCGTTTTTCATTCTACTTGCTTAAAACTTTTCCTAAGCAAGAAGATTTACAGCCCCAGAACACACATAACCCTTTAAATAGTATTCCATCTATAACCAGGTATACAGTCTCTCCAGAGAGTCTGATATGAAGAGGAATGAGACACTACAGGTTTGTAATTACAGTCTTTGCATCACACGAACTTTCTAGGTGTGGAAACACTACATCAGCCAAGACACCAAGTAACCCAGAAGGTTGTTTCTAATTTAACTAGTTAGCAAAGTACGACCATGCAGATTGGATTTCTGATTTAGACCAAGAGTAGGCACACCCTGACAAATGCTTAAGATGAATAGAACTGTATTATTCATCATATGTAACACAGATTTAATGGCTTTTAATGACCAGCTTGTTATCATAAAAATATATTTACGTGATGTCTGTTAACAAGCATCCTCATAGCAAAACCTGGTGTTTATTTATACAGGAAAAGTCTTGACCCTACTGCACATGTTCCCTCCAGGAGAAAGAAAGTAAACATAGCTGGTATTCTTTACAGAAAGAAACAAAAAAGAGTAAAAAAATTTTGAAAAAAACCCCCACACTTCTCTTTGGCGTTCATTCTTCCTCGTTCCTTTGTCCAATTCTTGTCTCAGATATAATCAAAGTGATTAACATACAAGGAAAATCTCAGGGCAAATGTGATCGGCTGATAGCAGAGACTTGCTGAAGTCAGTGCTATTCAGTTTTAAAACTTACATCAAGCTGTGGAATGGCCCTGGACAGATTATCTCCAGAGAGTCTCTGTCGAACAACATCGTGCTTTTTCCTGTGCCTGGTGGTTTAGACTACAATTTTTTGAGAACAGAAAAATGCATACCTCAAAACGTGGCTGACATTTCATCCTGAATGCTTTCTATAACTGTAGCCTCCTTTATCACTGCCAAAGCTTTACATCTCTCACAAAACCAGTAGACAAACTTTAAAAAAGGTCAGCCTGTACTTTAGGATACTTCTCCTTACCTTGATATCCATGAAATATTTACTTTAAAAATATACCTACCTCATGTTATCAGTGCAAAAAGATTTACATTTATTTGCATTACTTATACATACATTAAAGTATACTGATGGCATTAAAAAATAAAAAAAAATCATGTAATACCTTTACTTTTACCTATGGATTTGGTGAAATGGTTCCATGAAGAAAGCATTTCCAGACAGAAAGAGAATAAAGAAGAGGAGAGAAACAACAGTAAGAGTCATGAGTATATGTAAATGCAATAGTATCTGAACATGAAGAGACAAAGTATAAGGTAAGTGTCTGGAGACAAATGGAGATTCAATCAGTGTCATATTAGGGATTTAGTTTATTTTTTTTCCAATCATGTACATGCAGAGAAACACAGAAATAACCCATGCTTAGATAAGAAAGAGCGACACAAAAGTAACATGGACAATGGGTTAGGAGGAAAAAAAATCACTGATATCGTTAGGTTACAAAATTGTACTCTCAGCATTCCAGAAGCCAGGAGCAGGTGCTTTCTGCACATTTCCAATCAGCCATGCATTAATGTAAATGGACTCTTCAATGTGTACAATGTGACAAGCTGAGTATCTTCTTTCAGGAACTATCTGAAGAGTGCTCTTGTGCTTCGTTTATCTTTTATAGAAACACCCATAATTGTATTTTTTGATAAATACATGAAATTTTCTTAATCACCTTCTTATTTCTCTCACCTCTTTTCAGTTATTATATTGCGAGAGGGGGAGTTGAGGAGGCAGGAAGGACAAAAGCTTACAGAGCAAACAAACAAACAAAAAAGAAATAAGAAAAGATGTGACTAAAACCATGTGTTTATTTGCAGCCAAAGACAGCTTTCAAGCATTTGCCCATCGTTTGCAGTGATGGATTCAAAGCAGCTACAGAACAAGAAGAAACAATGAAAGCAGAGTGGAAAAGGAACAGAGCCCATACCTTGGTCGCCCATCATCAGGTGCGCCAGACCTTGAAGGGAAACAAGAGCACAGTCAGCAATGAACAAGGGAGCACGGGAAGGTGGTGTTGTCACAGTGACAAAAATGTTTTGTGACAGGCATCTGTTTCCTATGAGATGTCTGTATCACAGAGGGAAATCAAAGAGCATTTTTCAACCACTGGTTGGAATGCTTTGGGCTACGAGTAACAGAACTGCAATTCAAACACTGGGTGCTGCTTTATTGTGTATTTCTTCTGTGCAGTAGTTGGGGTCACAGAAAATAATAAAATGCTTTCAAATCCAACCAATTCCTTTAATGTTCCATCTGTCTTTATTGTATTTTGATTATATTGCTTTGAACACTTTGCTGGGAGGACTTCCTGTCCTCTACTTGTGAAATGACGTTAAAAACCTGGAGAAGTGTAAACCTGAAAAATGGGCTGGGTCTGATCTTTTTCCCCTCATAAAAATGAGCATTTCAGGTAATTAAATAAAATTTCTTCATCACATTGAAATGATAATGCAAGGGATGTCTCCTTATTTGTGTGAAACGTGAGAGTAGAATGAATTTGTTCCAGAGAAGGCAAATTATTACATATGTAATATAAAATACATAGCAATAAAGAAAATTTAAGTGACATCTTCTGAAGCAACTTCATAAATCTGTGATAAATAGATTTTACTTCATATTTGTATTGTGAGATGAAATCCAATCATACCAGTATACGTCTAGTGACATTTCAAAACAGATGTCCATAATGATAATCACTCAACCAGAGCCAAATTTTGTTACTCTTTAACCAAAAATATTCAGCTTTTTTAATTCATGATAATAAAATGGTACTTATATTCTCACTGAGAATAATGATTCATGATATAAAATGGTACTTATATTCTCACTGAGAATAATGTGATGTAGGGAGAACATTTTTCTAGAAATATGAAGGTTTTTCACATTTTATGTCTGGTTTAAAAAACAGGCTTATTCTTGTTGAACTTCGCTGTTTTAGGATCCATTTTAGAAGTCATTAATTGCTCATGTCTTAAATGTGCTCCTCTTCTTCAACAACTATAGAAAGTGATACATTATTTTCTTATTTGCAATTAATTAAAATTAATTCACACAAAGAAGGTGTGCAATAAAATATCCTGCTCTTTATTGGAAAGCAGACTTCCTAGAGAGTTCCTGTGTTTTCTAATTTGCAAAGAAAATTAGGTGCACAAATGACTCATAGTACATGGGGGGAGTTCAAAGAAGATACTCTGGACTGCAATCAGTCTTAAAGAATTCATATCTTATCAGTTCCAAATCTCAAGTGATGTTCCAAATAGACTAACAATGGTTTTGCTGAATTAGTGCTTTTTAATGTCACTTTTTTTAGATGCCTAGTTAAACTGAAGGGCCTGATGTGCCCCATCTCTTGTGCAATAGATTCTGTTTCCAAATACAGCGCCCCGCAGCTGGTGGGATTACCTGGGGCTTACAGTGGTGTAAATGAAAGCTGAGTGTGATCCTGAAGGGATGCCTACTTAAGCATTGCTTGGAAAACATCACACAGCTGTGCTGCAGTTAGCAGCTTGTGAAAGAGTAGAAATGTTTTCATGCGTGTTCTTTCTCTGTAAGTGTTGCTGCAACTGAGAGAGGTATGCTGAAAACACGAAGTATAAAGACCCATGGTCAAGCTTCATTCTTTTAATGCTGAACGTCCGTCCCTTCATGGCCTTCTGGAAGTATTAGTCTCTTCATGTGATTATTTAACTTGTCTTTTGGCAAGTTAAATGTTATATTTTAACTTGTCTTTCTGCTTTAAACTTTTTCTGTTGGCACTACAGTAAGAAATCTCAGACTTTTGTCTTGGGCTTAACTGTATCCGATAGAGGGAAGGCGAAACTAATCTAACGTTACAACATCTTTTTTCTTAATAAAATTGTGACTTTTCAGCAGCTACTTTATGTGAGCTCTTTCAGCTCTTAGAAGGTATGAAGCAAATCGCTGTCATGTCTCCTAGGGGAATGCAAAGAAGGTCATCTCTTACTAGCTTACATTTAAATATGGTCTTTATAGCTATAAGGACCTAAACAAAAGGCCTAGCTTCAGGAGACTACCACTGCTTGATAGATATTATTTTTGCTAAAATGATATGTGAAATTGGTCAGTTGTAAATACGTGATTCTTATATAATTTGAAAAAAACGTAAATGGCAGAAGTGCCTCTTGAAAACATCATAGAAACCACTTGAATTTTAAGAGTCACTTACAGTGCTGTTCAACTAAAAAAGGAAGTCAAGTGAATGTAAAAAAAATACACTGCTCAAACCAAACATCTATTGACTAAAAAATTTAGTACTAGTTCTCAAGACACTGTATTTTGTTTGATTCTGTATGTTACTTTATTTGTGAAGCAGTAAGGTTACTTATACTTACTTGCTAAAAGTATGTATTATTTTATATTTTTGTGATCTATGGATGAAGGCTATGGAAGAGTGAAGAATTACTATTACTGTACCTCTGCAATCCACAGAGGGGTTTAAAATGATACAGATAAATCTACCATGATAGCAATTGCTGCTAACTTTTCAAAATGACAGTCTGCTTATAATCGAGAACACCACAATGGATAGTCATAGAAAGTTCTAGCCTTAACGAGCCAGGTATAGGCATACCACACATTGAAAATAGTCATTTGTGCACCATTACTTCATAAGCAGAATGATAGAAGCCTTTTCTTTGTGAATTAGGAATTCAAGATTTAGTAGGAATGCCTCATGTGTGATCCACTCCATCTTTATACTGAACTTGACTCCAAGAGGAGAGAGTTAAGGGGCACAGGATGGGATAGTGAAAGTGGATAGGAAGATAGGAGATTTTCAAGATTTGGTGTGTGAGTTCCATGCAGAGCACAGGCCAAAACAAAATTTAAACATGGTAAACCTGTGGTGAACATGTTCAAGCCTTGAACAGTTTTAGTAAAATGAATAAAATGTAGCCTTTTCATACCAGCAATATATACAAATTTAACTCTGTGAATACTAAATCCTTCTGTTTTCTTATGTAGCCTAGCTTACAGAGATGCTCAGATATCACAGAAATCAAAGATGAAAAATTATAGCTCGGTTTCCAGATTGTGCTTTGGATACACATTCTATGCTTCCATTCTTTACATATACATCCTTTGTAACTTTAATGTATGCATAAGCATCCAGACCTGTGTTGGAATAAATTTAAGGTTGCAGTTTTAGGAATTAGACTCAGGTAAAGTCTGGATTAACTGTTATCCAGGCTTTAGCTTGTACTGCTGTGCATAAATGAATACGTGAAATCAAATTGAACCTCCTTATCTAGTTACACTGATCCTAATTCACATTTGAGACTCATGTTGACACCAGTAAGAGTTTTATGTACAGATCAAACATAAGATTAGGTGCTTAGTTATAGGCTTTTATGTTTTTCAGTTAGAATTCCTATCCCAATGTTTTTGAATACATTTTTATTTCACAATGAAAAGGAAATTGTATTGATATGTATGTGTGTGACAGTGCACACAATTAAAGCATAAGAATTGTTTAAATTTTCTTTCTCCTACTGGTAGCATATATTTTAATAAAATTGCACAGCATCGTGTATGTGCTAAATCTAAGCACCTCTTTTTGCCCTTGTATACAGTAGCATAGAGAAACTCAGAACAGATACTTCTGGGCTTTTTAAGAAAATTGCCACTGAACAGGCAGGCAGTGGCCCACGGTGACCTGAATCCTGAATGAACTCTCGCCCCACAGTGGCTTACTACAGGACCCTGCGTCAGAGCTGTGCCAGGGCAGTCACTTTGCATATGAGTTAGCTTACAAAGTCCTTGATTTAAAAATAGTTTTAAAAGTACTGGAAAAAATAAAATAAAAGTTATTGCTCAGTTTAGATAAACTCATTTTTCAAATAGTTAATTGTTTATCCAGTATGCAAAGGTTCAGCCCAGAGAGACTTTTAAAAGCACTTGTACATAAAAAAGCACCTGCACCTTTTGGCTTATAAGCAAAAAGATAGTATTGATTCCCAGCAATATCTGATCTGTGAAGCATATTCTGTACCTTTAAAACTATGACATATATGCACACAATATGTTTTACCAGCTAATAGACATACTTACCAATATTCAGGCTAGATGGCATTGTGCTTTAGTTTCCACTGCCCTGTGCCATACTTTCTTTAAAGGGACTTAATTACATACCAACATTATTATTAAAATCACATGCGGCTTCTTTCACAGTGTCGAAAAGGCAGAGTGCATTATGTTGAAAAGTTAGACAGAAAAACTTTTTTCCTAAAACTTTGTGCTGTAAAGGATAATACAGTAAGCAAGATTTGTAGTATTGAAGAGAAAAACGCTTTCCATTTTCCTAAGCAATTAAAATATAGGTATTTAACCTCCATTACATTCTTATGAGGAGGATTTATGCTCCACACTAATGAAACAAATAGTTTCTTGAAGTGTTTTTCATACAGAACATGAGAAGAAATCAGTCCTCTGCAAATCTGAATGATTTTGAAGGGTGATATCAGTCATATGAGTATAAATCCCATTGTTTCAGTGGGGATATTCTGGAATTACACCAGTAAGGCCAAGATTAAAATGGAGCTTTGCTTGTGTTCTGCATGGAAAAAGAAATCACACTTATCTAATAAACTTGTATACCTTTATGGGTAAAAAAAAGCAACTTACCGTACTGAATGATATGCGTACTTTTATAACATTAAGCAGAAGGGGAAAAAACCCACTAAACAGAAGGGAAAAACAAGAGCTTAGGAAAATAAGGTAGAAAGCACCCACCTTCCACATAGTTGTCTTCTGTAAGCACATAACAGGGAAGGAGAGAAAAGGAAAACATTCATTAAGCAGCATGCAGACTGGAACTTGCCATTGCATGTCTTCATCATGCAAGGCATCAAACACAACATGCAAGTGCTCCATTGCTACAATCCAGAGGGAAAAACAAAAGCACCAGGGAAGCAGTGTTTCTTCTATTTAACAAAATTT